AATTTTTTTTTATTTAACCCCTTGATGTTTAGAGTCACACCAGTATGATGATTCTAGTAGTCCCTGCAACATATGTCTGCATTAAAAAAATAATAATGAAGAAAATTAACATATTTGTTGCAATAGTAATTTATGCACTAACTACATTACTACTTGTACTACAACATTTGAATCATCAGTTCTTCCTCATTTTCCTCAATTGTTCATATTTGGTTTTTAAAATAATGATATTGTGGTCATTGTTCAAAAATGTCTGCTATTATTATGAGTAGTATTATTATTATTAGTATAATGCGCTTTCTGTCTTCCTGTCATTATCAGGAGTTAGACATGTAATGGCTATGTATTAGATTAGATTAGAACCTTCATTCTCCTAAACTGCTGGGACATTTCCCTATAGCCAATACCTTTTATATTGTCTGCTCTTCACTTACTTGTCAGCATAGGTCGGCATTGATGTACAGAGCCGACAGAAGACCTTGTTTATATTGGCATCATATTGAGAGGTGCAGCCAGTGACGCTTCCTAAAACCAGGAAGTAAGCCGCTGGTTCCCTCGAGAAAAAAGCAATGGGATTTCTCCATAGGGTTTTGGAAAATAGCTGGAAATAAGGTCTGTGGAAAACAAACCTGTTTGATAAATGCACGTACATACCCACATACCCTACTTTTATAATTTTCGAATCATAAATCTAATCGATAGAATAAAAGGGTTTTAGGACGCGTCACTGCACCACTAGAAAACAACTCCATCGATCAAGCTGGCTGAAACTTTCTCTCCCTCTTCTTCTCATGCTACCTGTCACTCTCCTTTAACTCCTCCGGTGACTTTCTTTTATTTGAAGATAGTTTTTTGCCCGACGCTCACGGGCAAACGGGAACCTCGGTTAGACACTTTTTTACTGTTTCTTACGAATTTTGGTTAATATCATCCCATACACCAGAGGATTCATAACTGGAGGAATTAAAAGAAATTCTATTGCCATGAAGTTCTGAAGGCTCTGCGATAACTTTCTCGAACCAAATCGTGTGTACATTAAATCAAACAGCACAGCAAAGGAAAAATTCACTAAAGAGACTAAATGAGGAACACATGTTTGCATAAACTTCTTTCTGCTCTGTTTGGATGTTAGGCATCTTCTTACTAGATACATATAAGACCAAATGAGAAAGAAAAAATGGAGAATGTAAATGGCAATGTTAAAATATGCAATCATAGTATTAGCTACAGAGGTAGAGCAAGCTACTTTACTAATCAGTGCGTTTGAACAGTACAGTTTAGGTATGTGTGAGCCACATAACTTGGACTGAAAAATTGTCATTGTGTTAGTGAACATACAGCAAAGAGGCAAGATCCAAGAGAAGGCCACTAACAGATATATCCGTTGTTTAGTAATCACAGAGTGGTACATTAGAGGTTGACATATAGCCACATACCTGTCATAGGCCATAACAGCTAGAATTGTTAAGTCACTTCCAGATGAGGAGTGTATCACAAAACTCTGCAGCAGACATCCAGCGTAAGAGATTACATGAGAGGGAGACAGAATAACCATGAGGAATTTTGGGTAAAAGCCTGCTGTCCCATAAAGTCCATTTATACACAGATTACACAGGAAGATATACATGGGCTCATGAAGCTTTTCGTCCACAACGATGGTTATGATGAGAACAACATTTACTATCCAAATGACTGAGTAAAACAGAAAAGTGAGAGCAAAGAGAACGATTCTGTGTTGCACCGTGTAATCTAATCCTAAAAGTGTAAAAAATGTCAATACAGAACCATTATCCATTTAACTCACAGCTGCTTATTATAGTAGTTACAGTATTATTTCTCACCTCAATATTTTCAAAACATAGAGTGAATTCTGAAAAACATAATTGACACACATGCCTCTGAGATGCTGTTTCCGCAGCGAGCATCATGTGCAAAGTGTCTCTAAGAGTGTGTTCTCCTACTTAAACGATTTCTCTGATGACTTGACACAACCTGGGAATTCAAGCATGAGAGCTTAGAGAGAATTCATGACAGTTTGTTTGGTTTCATATTAGGGGGAAGTCAAATTATATCACAATATAGTCAAAACCAGGGGCCGTATTCACAAAGGATTTTAGGGCTAAAAGTAGCTCCTAACTGGCGAATTTAGGAGAAACTCCTAAGCATAATGGGCGTGTCAGTCATAAATTTAGGACTCCTAATTGTATTCACTAAGAGCAATTCACAAAGTATTTTAAGCCTAAAAGTAGCACCTAAGTCTGGGAGAGCTTAAAAGTCCTCGAGAGGACTCCTAACTCAGTAAGACCTATTCACAAAGAATCTGAAAATGGCTGAGAGACGAAATGTTTTGGAGACAATGGAAGACTGTGAATTGATCAAGAGATATAGGCTAAATCGTGAGGGTATCAAACTTGTTGTGGAATTAGTGCGGGATGCAATAACATCCCCGACTAACAGGAATAACCCGATTAGTCCGGAAATAAAATGTTTGGCAACACTACGATATTTAGCAACAGGGAAAATGCAACTTTGCAATGCCGACGATTTAGGAGATATCGCAACCATCAGTCAGCTGTGCCATAAACCAAACCATCAACGCGCTCTCTAGACCACATATCATCCAACAGTTTATCCGGTTTCCTTTGGACAATCAACAACTACACAGGATCAAAGCCAACTTCATGGCAATGCAGGTATGCCCGGTGTGGTCGGTGATATTGACGGGACGCACATAAAAATAATTGCGCCATCAAAAGATGAGGACGTGTTCGTCAATAGAAAGAGAGTACATTCCATCAACACGCAGATTGTTTTCATTCATCATG